TGACTTGCCCCACAATAAAAAATAGCTTACTTAACTCACGCTGCGAGTTTCCTGTTTCGCTCTCCGTATCACAGATAAGCGAATCTCGAGAGAAAGGATTTTGAGTTTCTTTGTGCAATTGATATTTGCCATTTACCTGGATGAAATGAAAGTCATAGCGAAAAAGACTTCGCTGTTGCACTCCCTTCACAATCTGCGACAGTACTACACACCTAAGCACGTTCAGCTATGGGTTTTATTGCAAACTCATGGATATATCGTCGAACCTGCCAGCCATGCCATTCTAAGAACAGCATACCCAAAGGGAGGGTAGAAATGGCAATGGCGGTGCCCCCTGCCTCGTGGATGGATCATCGCAGGTGGCCACCAAAGCCGCAAGTTGAACTAACAGAAAACAACTTAATACGCGGAAAAACATTTCTCGGAACTTGAATAAAAGTTGTCACCTTAAAGGGGGAAAATGTGATTTTGTAGAGGAGTGGATGGTCGCTGGTCGAAAGCACGGGTGGTCGGAATGAAGGGGATCTCATTGCATTGCTCTTATTTGAAAAAACATTCAGTCCCCCATAAAAGTGTTCGTGAAGTGGGGTTTCCCTGTAATTTGAATTGCCAATCAAGTTCTGCAGTATTCGAACGGGTCGTTTCAACTTATGGTTTGGTTAGGTCTATAGGTTTTTTTTAACGGTATGGTAACTGTGAGGATGACACAATATGACCGGGTGAAAGGACGGACACAATACAACCATGCCCGAGGCGGGACTCGAACCCGCGATCCTTTGGTTCCAAATCGCTCCGACACTTCTGCCTTAGCGATCTCTGCCACGCGGACCGGCTGTGGGACACATTGTTGGGTCAAGAAAAGGCGGAGACATTAGCCAAAGTTTATAAACTCCTAAGAAACATATCTTCGACATATAAAGTTGTAATTTTCATTCAGAGTAATATATTTTTATAACGTTCATTAAGAGACCATGTTGTTAATCAAAAAGCTTGCAATTCATGTACGATATATATAATATAGTATAATATAATATAAAATGTTAAATTCTTATGAACAATATTTTGAAAATAAGATTATAACATTTATATTTGTATGGAATATTTTCACATTGATGAAGTGGGTTTTTTAATGGGGTTTATTGCATTTTAAATGTGGTGTACTAGTATTAAAAAAGGGGGTAGGTTTTTGAGGGTTGGGGAATATTGTGCAGGCCCTGGGTGTGTGCAATAGTTCGTCGGATGGCGTTGGCGGTACCGCCTCCGAGGAAGGAGGTTCTGTCGTTTCCGTGGATTATGTAATTCTGTACAGTAAAGGATTTGTTAGAAGTCAGCGTAGTTTCTTGAAGTAGTAGGATCCTGATGGAGTGATTTTTTAAGTATTGTATGAGGATGGGTTTTTTCTGGGCCATGGCACCATTTGCGTTCCTTGAGGTCTGGGTAAGGAATCCATTAATTAAGGATTTTAACAATTTTCAGTCCTATGACATTGACGTTTTGTCGTCAATCGACTTTCGGAACCAAGGCATGGATTTTGGCTACACCACGTGTTAGAAGATTTTTTTTTCCCCTGTATTCAGCATCTGAATTTTTTCCCTTTTTCGTTGCTAGGGCTCTGCAATAAGAATTTTTCTGCCAAAAATTCACCGTTTTTTCGCGCATTACATAACTTTCTCTTTTGAAGAAGTTCCTTCTTAAACGCGAGAAAGTAAAATGTATCTTCGTAATTGTAGTTGTAGGAAAACGCCGAAAATTTTTTCGCAATTTTCAAAAAAACCATGGTTTTCAACGAAGTGTGACGTGCATAATTCTCTTATGAGTCCTTTACGCTATCCGAGTTCAAAATTTATTCAAAACATTTGGCACTGTTTTTGAGAATTAAAAAAAATACTTTATTTCAAGCAAAGCTACGTGAAAACTATTCAAATATTTGAAAAATTGCCAATATCTTATTTCAGAATCTGTCTTTAAAGAACAGATTTTCTTTTAAAAAAATCACTACATTCGGTATTTTAGTTGTAGGAAGACAACGAATTTTTTTTTCAACTTTTGCAAATTTCGAAAAATTAGGTATTTTGACTAAAATTAGACTTGCAACAATGTGTTAAAATTTCGTTCACTATCAGACATCAAACACTTTTGTGCCCTTTTTTTATTGTGCTAGGGGCTTCATGTAAAAACGAAAAAAATACATAGCTTTGAAATTAAATGGGCCGTGACATCAGCCTGATCTATTGGGAAATATCAATTGTGGTGAAAATCCCGCCTACGGTTTAGTCGTTATGGTTCACAGATAGACGGACAGATGTTTTGCTGTCAATCAGTTTTTGGTACCAAGGACCCACAAAACATGGATTCTGATTACACAACGTATTACAGGGACTACTTTTCCATATATAAGGACAAAATTTAACCACTTTTTCGTTACCAGGTCCCGGCAATAAGAGTTTGTTGTTTTTTATAGAAAATTCACCCTCCCCTCAACATTACAATGCTTTTTTGTATTCCAGCGTTATAAAAGAATCCTTTTCTCTTGCAAGAAATCGTTCATAGGCGGGCATTTTACGGCACAAATGATGACGTATTAGATTTTTAATGAATGATTACGCCATCACACATTCAGCCAATCGTAACGAGAGAATCGGGGGGAGGTAGAGCTAAACGGAACAGACGACCACCGTGTACTCGCACGATGTCAAATACTCGAGTCGTCACAGGGAAGTTGTTTCGCAAAATTAAGTTAGATTCTATTATAAATGTATAATGCTGTTATACAAAAAAAAATATAGCATGCAACTCGTTTATAATGTTGCTTTATTACATTCGTTCAAATTTGAAAACTCGCCCCTAAAGTCGCTCTTTTTCAAAATATGTACTCATGCAATAGAACTTAACATTATAAACTAATTGCATAAACTACTATTGTCTGTACTGCTAAGCAGCAGCGAGGATGAAGAAACGTTTGCAAAAAGTTCGTATTTTTTCTCTCTATAAAAGTTTCTGTATATCAAATATCGTTGGAACTGTCAGATTCGATTTATTTGCTCTGTGTCCTGAATTCTGGAATGTACTACTGGGCTTTGGGAATTATTTCAAACTTTGAGTAGTTGTTTCCTAGGAAATACTTATATTACAAACGTAGTCCGAGTTTAATGAAAAGCAATTTATAGCTCGGCTCCTGAAAATAATGACTGCTGATTTCGATTAAAAAGGCAGTTGCCAACTTTTGGACATATTCTCTACACAGGCCTGATTTGGAAAAACAAATATATTTCTGTATTGCTTGTTTAAAATGTACTGATCCTTGTTTATGAATTGTAATATTTTACTTAGATTAGTTGCAAGCTGTAACTTGAGTATTGTAATACAGTAAAACCCCTCTTTTATACTTTCATGGAAGCCTAGGGAAGGTGGTGTATATTGCGGGAAGTGTAAATAAGGAGAAATTATATTTTCTTCGAAACAGTGAGTATATTATTATGTTTTTAGTTATAAACAATTAATAAGGATTATAATATGCTTTAACATGCAGTATTATTAGATAAGTAGTCTAATGAACAATATTACAAAGTCAAACAAGTAGATATCTGACAGAAATGTACGACGTCGGAAATCAAAGGAGTATTAACCGAAGCAAAGTGAATTTTAAATGTCGCAACGACACTTCAAGTCCCTGCCATCCACTTTGGTAGCCTTTGACGATGCAACAATGTACTTATTGTTGGATGAAGGGAGGGAAGTGGTATTTCTGTGAGAAAAAATGCAACTTTACATTTTTCCCAACTCAATAAAATGTTTTTGGTAGTTCGTAATGATTTCGAAGTATTTTTTTTAAATTTATTTATGAAATGATTAAAAGAGGGTTCATGAAACGAATTTACGTTTTACGTTATTATTTAAAAACTTACGGAAAATTTCATACTTTGAAGTTTTAGCTATTTAAGGACGCGAAAAAATTAGTTTATTTTAAAACGAGAAAGTGTGAAATTGTAAGGAAGATGTAAAATAAATTAGTGTTAGCCATGTCTCATAGGCCTGTGTCACACGAGCGTCACCCAATGCTGATGACGTCAGCTGCGACGATGCCTGTGCATTCGTCACATAACGCGCGTCGTAGATTCACACTATCTTATGTGAAGAAGCACACGAGCACTCTTTGCGACTTGCGTTGTGCCCACAGCACAAACCAGACGTGCAAGCTACAGCGTAAGCCAAATCAAAGTTTTCTAGTTTCGAAATGCGATATATACCCTCTAGGCGACGAGCGTTGGCAACAACGCACGTCGCCAAGAGCACTCGTTTGCCCTTTCGCATAATATAGTGTTAATCTACCACGCGCGTAAAGTGCCGTGTGCGTAGACATCGACGCAACTGGCGTCATCAGCGTTAGGTGACGCGCGTCAACGCAACGCGCGTGTGGCACAGAGCTTATAATATATCAAAGCACGTTAGTAATTTTTTCTACCTTTTTAATATCTCTTTAATGTCATGAAATGTAAAATTTGTTATAGGCCTAGCTGTTGAATAACGATTGTCACTGTGTTTAAATCTACAAATAACAACTCTATAATATTGCGCCATTTCAAAAGCCTTTAAATTACGGCCATCTTTTGTCGTCACGCGGCAAGGTGATGGGAAAATGCTGCGAGTGCCCGTTGTGCGCAACACCGAAGTGCTTTCCAGATGGTATTGGGGCAAGCAGGCACTGTCGTATATTGCGGGAAAATTGAAATTGCGCTATCGTAAATAGGCATATTCATAACTTTATGAATATACGAAAACTGATGAGACTGACGAAATATGTAAATGCCGAGAAAACCTAATAGCGGAGTTTTACTGTATTAACGATTGCTAAAATTGTCTGTCTTGATTCTAAAACATCATACTTATAAGATCTTCTAAATAAGGATCTTTGGAGCTCATAAATGGAAATTTCCAAACATTCTTAATTTTAGTGTATTTTTCTTATATTTAATTATAACATTAATCTACATTTATTTTAGACATAGATTAGAGAAGGCTTTTATCTCTAATCCAGAAGAAGCAATGTTAGAAGCTGATGTCATTGGTGTTGTTCATGATGTTTCCAACAAGTGGACTGCTCAACACCTGGACCATAGAACATTGAGGTTGCTGGAATTACATTCAGATAAAAATTCTATTTTAATTCTAAACAAGGTAATTTATGTTTTTTAAGTGTTAATTTGTTAACTTAATAAACAATGTGTTACTTTGTTTTAAGGATTAAACTTGTGTAATGTGAATTGATAATCTTTAATGTTCATTTTTACAGATAGATGCACTTCATAAAAAATACAAATTACTTGAGCTCATAAACATTCTGACAAACAAGTCTGTAAAATCATCATGCCCAGTTGAGAAACCTAAAGTAACTAAATTATCTGAAATCTCAGTCATGAAGATGGTGAAAGACCAGCGTGGTTGGTCTGAATTTAATGAAGTGTTTATGGTTTCATCATTGACTGGAAGTGGCCTAGGCGATGTAAAGGTGGGTATGCAAATTTGAATTTGTGAACTTTAAATGTGACTCATTCTGACTTGTTTTAAGAGTATATTTTGTTATACATCTGTGATCATTTTAACTTCAGATTTGTACTGTCAACTTTTCTCATACAAAACCTTGTTCTTAAGAACAGTATCTGGGATTTCATTTTTTGAAATATACTGTGGTAAAAAATAGTCTAGTTCAGTCTCCTCGATATAATTTTCATTGCTGAACTAGGTGCCCAGGAATAAAATCATTGACCTCATCAGAATCCAGTTTTGATCCATTATTCAAAAATTCTTGAACTTCTAATGATTAAAGTCACTGTGAATTTGTCATCTATGTTGCAAGAAATCTGTAGATGTCGCTAACAGCATGAACATGAACAAAGAAAGACATACTGAATGTAATCAACAATGCCTGCAAGTACGATATCTAATCGCTTCATGGAAAAATTGCAAATACTTGTAAAAAATAGAAGCACACATTGCTGTTTATCCTGCAACTGTCTTAATAATATTGAAAAGCATATAATAGTTCAATGAAGAGGAGCGAATTTGTAATTTATTATTATATGTTTAGTTGTATACAAGAAATAATAATTTATTAAATTAATTTAATAGTCTTTTGTAATCAATTGGATCTTCATTATTCCTGTCAATTGACATTTTATATTCAGCTTTAACATACCCAATCAACCTCTTCATTCCTTTCAAAACTCGAACACTGACCCCCTTCAAAACTTCATTAAACTCAGGAGGTTGTTCAAACCCCTGTTCTGCCTAGCCTGTTCAAACCCCTGATCTGCACCCTAATTCTTTTGTAATGTCTTGGGTAGGCAGACAACTATGTGTTAATTGAGGAACTCAATCCCACTACAGTGGTACAAGTACTGAGATGAATTGCTTTATAAGTGATTCCGGGAGAGTGAACTGCTGAGAACATTAACCCTGTAAGCGTTGTGCGTGGGATGTGGCAGTGGTTTTCCCTTGTTGGATGGTGAGATCTGGCACTGACCTACGTGATGGCTAGTAGAGTTTTCCCCTACCAGGTAGCTCACACCAAAAGATCACCACCCGTGTCGGGACAAGCTCTTAAGTTCCCAATGTGTGATAGTGTAGTGCATGTAAATATGTGCAAATAAGGAGTGAGGTAATGACAAGGAGGGGGAAGGAAAGATCGCGCGCGGTCCGTGGCCCGTTTGTTAGAGTACTGCTCCAGCATTCACCTGATGTTGATCGAAGTCACCATGGAAAACTACTGATCAGAGCAGTCAGCTACTAGAACTCTCTTCCTGACAGCAGCTGAACTTGACGGAGCGATGTAGCTAGTGTTGAAAATCCTGTCACCATCAGGACTCAAACCCTAGGACCTCCCAATCATGCATGCCCTGACCCATCTAATCTGGTCATGTACATGGAATACTATGAACAAGATTCTAAAGGTCAGTACCAAGATCTCGATAGTGTGGTTAGAGTAACCCCATAAACCCTCATAAACCAGGCGACCTGGGTTCGAATCCCAGTCAGGGTGACCAATTATTTGAACAAATGTATTCATTAAAACCTTTATACAATTCATGGTAACATTTTTTAAAGTAGGTGATAAATCATCATTTGCCAATTTGGAAACTAATATTTGAGGCCATAATGAGATAGATTCTTTCAATTTTTTTTAAAGCATTTGTAAACAAAAAGAAACATTTGAGAAAAAATTATATGTAAGAATGAAGTAGATTTGATGCAATACAAGCATGTTCAGTACTCTTTGAGTTTTGTTGTAGTTAATTATATTTGTTTTCATTTAGCATATATTCTGTACAGGAATACCTTCTACAGCAAGCAAAACTTGGTCCTTGGATTTACAAACCTGGACAGTTTACTGATGAATCTCCAGAAGACCTAATTTTACAGACTGTTCAGTCTAGATTACTGGAATACTTACCACAGGAAATTCCTTATATTTTGGAACCAGAAATGGAATTCTTCAAGATTCATCCTGATGGTATGTTATTGTGAAGGAATTAGAATAAACAATGTCATTTTAATATATATAGTGAAATGATGTATTAATTTGATTCATTCATGAATATCTGAGGAATTCTAATTACTAAATGAAATGTTGTAGGAAGAATAGTGTCTGTTGTATTAGTGAACTGCCCATCACCTCACTTGGAGAAGCTGGTCATGGGGCCAAAAGGTAAAAGAATAAAACTTATAGCCCAAGAAGCTGAACAGGATATTAGAAACACTTTCCATGAAAATGTGTATCTAAAATTAGTAGTTACTGGTCATCCAAATAAGAATGTAAGATAATTTATAATATGTTAGACAATGTCAACAAATTTTAATGTGGGTTTTGCAAAAATCTTTTATTTCCAAATGTCCATTTCAATTTCGAGGTTATTCTTATTAGGTGTATCAAAACATAAATTAGAAGCTTCATTCCTATTGTCTGGCAGGTATATCTGATGAAATTACACCTTTCTGGAAAGTTTGTTCTTTATCTTTTGCTTCTGAAGAAATTACCATTTCTGGGAAGTGAAGGTCTGAATTCTGAAGGTGTTTGTTGATCCATGCATTTGCTCGGACAAGAAGTTGTAAATCAAATAAATCATTGTATGATCCATTCTTACCTGAAAATTTTGTACATATTAATCATTTTTACTCCATTGTTTATTTAAACAGTTGTACCTAAACATAAATAAAGTATCTATTTTGGAAAAATTGAATGTTTTTTGTTAATAAAATATTTCTCTTCAATTCTGAATTTTTATTTTTGTTTAGAATAGTCTCTTAGTAGCTAATTTGGTCTTAAAGAAGACAAGTAAATGATGGTATTTTTTATATGTAGAGATTGCTAAAGATTCGGTAGATTTTTATATGTTTGTTGATGTATTTAATTCTGATAATATTTTTTGAATTTTCATATTTTTATCATATCTTCATGTTTTTAATTGCAAATACATTGCAGAACTTATATAGAATTATATATTTTGTGGCAGACTCACCTTTTCTTATAAAATCTTGTTCACCTTCTGTTAACATTCCAACTTCTTTGAACACTGAGAAGTTTACAGATGGATTATTACGAAAATTTTTTATGTCAAGATGCTGACATAATATTTCAATATCTTCTGTTGATGTTTCTTTTTTAAGGAAATTTGCTGTTTTTTCAACTACAGATTTCAAGTCCTAGGGGGAAAATGGTGTTCATTTGTCAATATTGGACCTTTTTATACTTAATCTAATGCAAGATAAGTTAGCAAGAGAGTTCAGAGAATTAGTAAGAAAAAATAATATGATATTGTTTGAATTAGTTATTGAGGCTTCACTAGTTGATCAACAAAAACATTAGATATCCTTACATTATTCATTTCTTCATAAAAGAGAAATAATAAGTTCTCATTCCTTCGTTTATTCCATGCCTCTAACACATGGGTCCAGTAAGGGGTCCATGGTTCTGTAAATAATAGCTTTTATATAAATACAATATGAAGAGTTATTTTAAGTTCAGTTTCATTTATTAAAAATATTTATAATCACTCATAATATTCAATATATTAAGGAGAGAAAAGATAATGGCGTGAAATTTCTTCCTAGCAGTAATGACAGTGAACAAAAATGTTCAATAGTCATTTTATTAATAGTTCTGACACACGCTATCAAAACCCTAAAATCCCTTTTGAGTAGCGCATTTTACTCTTAGTGGTTCATTCATGGTGCGTGGCAGACATAGAGGAGAGATACAACTCTCTACTTTACTCTATACAATATCTCTACTCCATTGTGGCAGGGCAGTGCGTGACGTAAATGTGATCCATTGTACAGTTTGTGACGTATTGTCGTGTTTGCTCATAATTTCGTGAGGATTCGTAGGAACCATGCAGGGTAGTAATTAACGGATATTCAGGAATAAGTGTGTGTATTATGTCCTCCAGTCAGGACCGGCGCTAGGTTATTTTGCGCCTCAGGCAAAATTAGATGTTTGCGCCCCCCCCCCCCAATAATAATAATGTTTAGAAAAAAATGTTTAAATATATATATATATATATATATATACACACACATAAAGCACAAATTATTTTAAATTACATATTTAGGTGTACCATAAATATAATACAAATGATATTTAGACGTATAAAAGCAATCGTAATGAGTGTAAGACAAACGATTTAACTAAACTTTCAATGAAACATATTAAAATTTAACTTTACGCGCTTTTTGTTTCGCGCATTGTTTGATTAATTCTGCTAAATCAAGTACTGATGCTTCAGTATGTTCGATAGGTATAGTAGTTAAGCTAACGAGTCTCTCTTCAGACATTGTAATATTCTACTTAGGAAATTTCCGTTTCACAACTCCTAAGAATTCTGAATTCTTTTTCTTAGAAAATTTTAAGAGATTTTAATATGGATTGACGGATACCTTCAAAATTAGAGATGTCATCAATTTCAACCAAACTACTATCATTCTTAGTCTGTTCATTTGATTTCTGAGTACATAGATACTAAGAAACGTTCCTTCTTGTTTAGCTTCTTCTTTACTTCTTTCTGCCTTCCGTTTACGATTTTGAGCTCCAGAAGGGCGGTTTCTCTCAGACATAGTTTACTGAGTAATAATAAATAGATATAAGAGATATCTTCTTACAATTGGAATTCATCGACACAGCAATTAGAAATCTTACCTACATTTCTACACTATGTTGTTGCTGTTGTTCTCTTTATTGGCTATTGGGTGAAAGAAGTACCCTGTATTCCAGTCCTGTACCTTGTGCGTAAAACAAATTAAAATATATTTACACACTAATATTATTAATTCCTGGATGACCAATGACAATTTTAGGGACACAAAATGGACCAACGTAAAAAAGAACCCTCGCCCACGTCCTAGCGGTGTTGCAGCTGACATTATTCTCTCTCTTTCTAAAGATCCGACGCTTTAAAAATAGAAAGAATGATGCCAGCGGCAACACTGCGGCCTAGTGCTGCCGCCAAGTGAGTAAATCTGTGAGAGTAAAAATTCGAATCTCTCTCTCTATCCAGGCTTATGTTCTCTCTTTCTGCCATTTATTTATTATGAAGATATTTCCATCATGTATTATATCAAAATATTTTGTAAAAATAATACGTAAATACTTAACTTAAGAAATAATTAACACACATACTTGATATTGTTCAGAATATCAATATAAAGACAATAATAAACTAAAATGAATTCGACAATTATTAAAATAATAATAAATTAAGTATATTAAAGCTTTCTTGCAAAATGAATATTTATTTTATCAATAATATAATCACTACCAATAAGCCAAAACACTGAAAAATATAATAATATGAATATAAACGTGACTACTCGTATTACCTCATGTCGCTAATGTTGTTTATTGTATAACCAGAATAATTAAATTCTAATATGATGATTGAAGAACTGAACTACTTACACTAAATAAAGAAAATATTATTTTAACTCTTATCGAGATTTTAGATTTAAAAAACATAAATTCAATATTGAAAATCCAAATTAAAAATTCTAAATTGTAAATTAAAAAATTCAAAATACAAATTAAAAAAAACATACAATAGAAATAATTTATTTCACAGAAGGATAACATTCTACAATGAGGCGACTCTTCAAGCTGCTAACCACATGAAAACTTTTGGCAGTTTCACAGACCAAAACAGTAAACTAAATTAAATAAAAAATAGATCAACTCCGTGGCAAAAATTGAACAAATGTCTGGATTTATTTTATATTAATTTCTGTGTAATATTTTGGTCTGTGACACTGCCAAAAGTTTTCGTATATTTAGGAGCTTAAAGAATCGCCTTAAGAAAACAAACTATAATGCAACCGGAGTACATTGTTCCTTATACAGTTGATATAGTAAAAATACTCAATAAAATGGAATGCTTTTTACTGTACAAATATAACACATGAAAATATGAAATTATTTATCAAGAGGAATGAAACTCTCGAATCCCTATTAATAAAAATGAAAGTCTGAAAAGTCTAAAGAAAGTCGATTTGTGAAATAATGAAAACACGTCATTTGTAATAAAATTATAAAAAAAGTCTTCTATGTTGTACACCCTTCATACGAAATATTTTTTTAGTACGTAGGGCACAAAGTATAATTTTTCTTTCGTGCAAGTTGTATTGCAATAGGCACCATTTAAATTTGTTGTCATTCATGTATGATAAAGTGGAACCGTTGCGTCCAAAGGTAAAGGTTACAAAGTACATTTTTGCGCTCAAGTGTTTAGCCCGATGCCGGAAAAATTCATTTTGTAGCTGCTTTCAAGGGGCGCAAATTTCCACTTTGATAAAAAAATATACCATTAAAATTTGTTAGACGCACCGACACCGTAGATATTCTTAAAACAAGTTCCATGTTTTAATAAATTTAATATATAAATTAAGAAAATACAAGTTTTTGAAGAGTAAGCAAATAATACTTGGTAGGTAATAATATATACAACAAAAATTAACTACTTTCTAAGTAGAAGTTTCTAACTTCTTTCTTTCTGCTTTAAATTAATAACTTTCACAAAACAATAGAACAATAAGATTTATTATAAAAAATGTACAAAATGTGCGCCCCCCTGAGGTTTGCGCCCTAGGCGGTCGCCTAGTTAGCCTATAGGTAGCGCCGGCCCTGCCTCCAGTGAGTGTGTAATTGAGTGTAAATAATATTTTGAGGAGACCATTTTCAACGTGGCAGTTCCACGAGAAGAAACAGGTAATTGTAAACTGTAGGGCAACACCGACCGTAGCACAATTACAGCAGATAACAAAAAAATTCACGAGACATTTCACTTGCTCTGCCTACGAAAAATATAAGTGGTAAGCTGATAGTGAAAGGCTTAACTCTTTGTTTTGTTGGTCTTGTTTGTTCTTTGGTCAAGAACAGAATACCTCGTGGACAAAATCAAGATACAAAAATGTGGGAAGTTTCACAAAAGCAGCAACTGCACACGAACTGTCTGTTGGACACATCCAAGCTGCGTATCGTTTGGCGTCTTTCGGGCATGCTCGAATTGAAACGCAATTGGACCAGCAATTTCAAACAGAAATATATCTCCACAATAAGAAAGTACAACAAAATCGCGAAGTACTCAAAACGTTCATAAACACCGTATGTTTCCTAAGTAAACAGAACTTACTATTCAGGGGACATGACTAATCAAGATTTTCAGTTAATCGTGGTAATTATGTGGAACTACTGCACCACATAGTACGAGAATATGATTCTCTCCTGAAGACTAATTTAGAAACTTCACCAGTTTTCAGCGGGTTATCGAATCGGATACAAAATGATCTCACATTTCATATCTCATTCGCTGTAGCAAGAAATTAAATCTGAAATAGCGAATGCTAATTTTGTCTCTGTGTTGGTCGATGAAACAACAGATGTTTTCAACACTGCTCAATTGTCTATTGTGTTCCAATATGTTTACAGTGGTGAACAAAAAAAAGATTTATCGGATTTCGTGATGTAAGTGTGAACCGAAGCGCCGGTGATAGCTAGAGCGTGTAAGAGAATACTTTACAGTAATTAAGGGCGGGAATATATTTTCAGCAAACGCCGTTGTCTATATCTACAACACTCGACGTAATCATATTCATCAGGTGGCAGTATCAACAGCTCACTACAAAAAATCATCAATCGCGTGAGCCAGTTCTTCTGTAACCAAAGATGGACGCCCACTTCGTTCTTCATCGTGCACATCACTACGTCCGTCATTGAACTGTCGGACCCATCTTCTCAACATTGAATCACTCATCGCATTTGGTACGTAAACATCGCACATTTGCCGATAAATTTCACTTGGTTTCACTTTCCTCGCATTCAGAAAACGAATCACAGATCTGATTTCACAAGCGCGGGATTTTCAATCAACACCGACATTGTAAACAAGCACAACAAAGCGTACGTAACTGACAGCGATCTCCAAATGGCGCACGTTTCTTCTTGATACCGTGCATGTGCGAAACTGCGATCGCAGCGCTGCAGAGGAGATAAATTGAAACGGAACTTACTTTCTGGACGTGCCTTGTACATTTACATTATTTTACAACACATGTGTTAGATGACATTAAACGATTAAATTCGATACAAAAGTTTAAGTCCCAAGTAAAATCTTTTCTGCTGCACAACTGTTTCTAAATAATTAGAGACTATACCGAGTATCCAAAAGGAAAGTAATATTAATTTTAACAATGACATTTAATGTATTATATACCATTTGGATTGTATAATTCTGAAGAACCTGTACCAAGTATTGTACTTCAGCTTGTGGGTCAGTGACCCCCATCTCGATCAGGTTTTCGTCCAGTTTCCCTGATCCTCAGCAAATGCTGAGATGGCCCCTTGTTTTGCTTCTGGACGTAAATGTAACTTCAAATTAACTTCTCCCCATAGCACGTCACACACAGATTTTAACTGTTTTTGACGTATATAATTAAATAAATTTGACTGCAATAACAAACTCAAGTCTTACGATGGCGCAGCGTCCATGTCTGGAAATGTGAACGGCGTCCAGGTCCCTATAAAACAGACTCATCCTCAAGCAGTTTATATTCATAACATGTCTTGAATTTAATACTTTCACATAGTGTTAACAGCAGAGAATGTAAATTTTACTCTAGTAATTTGAGTGGTTCCTATTACGGGTCTTCTATTAGGTCTTCTTCTCGCGGTCACCGAAACGAGCACAATTTCTCGACAATTTTCTGCAAAGACGTTTGCCCAACTAAATGGAACTATACAGAGCGACTTGTGAACCCTGGGTATGTGCACAGAAATGAACTTCAGAAAGTTCATTACAATGCTGAATAACCAAGATGAGGTTGAATGTGATATATTGGCTCCTATTAGTGGTTATTTGTCAATTTTTTTTTTTTGACTTGATGTTTTGTTGAGAACGTTTGATAAAATATTTTCGTTCTCTGGAATAGTGTACATCATTCTCCAAAGGCATATGACATCGGTTACTGTAAACAAAAGATTAAAGAAACTCGAAGAAATATAGTTGAAATGCGAAGCAAGTATGAAAACGTACATTCTGAAACCATAAGAGAAGTTCGCGAAGAAACTAGGAGAGTCTATATAAATTACAAGCGACTATATTACGAAATGTTTGATAATGTAGACAATCAGAGATTCGATTTCATGATTATGGAAATTTGCAGTTCTTGGAATTGATATGAAATTATATGGCAAGTATAATAAATACACAAGTTTCCCCAGAAGGAATTTTCTGTGGCGCGTTCGAAGTCAAGAATGAAGTACGGTCTTTTATGGCGAGAGTGATGCCAAACGTGGGGCTTTTCTTCTGTACTGAATGAATCGAAAGTTACGCCCTCGATGGTGACAACGAATCCTGCAATGGGGCGGAGCGCTAGTTTAGCACTCAAGTACTTTATCTCAAACCTTTCCAATTTTCTAAAATCGTATTTTCCTCCCCTTCCTCAAATCCAAAACTATCCCTAAAAGACTAATACTCAGAAACGTGTCTGTTAAGCTTCTCACATCCACTGTGCTTCGAAATATCATAAGAAATCAGGAAGAAATAATAATTTTGATGTGCACAGCTATAGGTATACTACAACGTGTTAGGTGTAGCAATTTACTATATTTAGGATATTTAGGAACGGGATGTATCCACTTTTTCGATTCCAGGTCCCTCATTCGCTCTCAAACACACTTTAGAGCATTCAGAAGTTTATTTGAAGTGTGAATGAGCATTTTAAAATGTTAGTGAAAGGAATATGGAACGTTTGAAAAGATTAAAATAGGTTCTGAAATTAAGAGTTTTTCCCATTCGTCCGGATTTTAAAACCCCACAAGTTCGTAAAAAGGTATATTGAAAGAAAAAAAGGGTCGAAGGAAGAGCTGAAACGTCGCATATTGCCCATATCCCGCCTCGTCTTCCACCCAGGGTCGACTGCATGTTAAGAATCAATACTGATTTAATGTTCGTGTAATATGAATATTATACAATGTTACTTACGTAAATTATTTTCAAAATATTCCCAATATGTCTTGAAGTCTCTCAAAAAGCCTTGAGTCTTGATGAGCCTGTTGAGATGGTAAAATGAAACTGCTACATCCTTGGGATTTCTTGCAACATAAATTACCTGTTAACCGAAAAGTAGTTATGCTTAAATGACAATAACATTCATGTAAATGACAGGTTTAGAGAAAATAAATTATAGGTCAAGTGCACATCATCAAGTGTTGTTAACGTATTTAACATTACAAAGGGTCTCTAACACTTCTAAATTTTTAAATATTATATTTCCACAAAAGTGAAACTCATCTACTGGGTCCGTTCGGTAGATACTGCGACCTAGGTACAGATACCAACGTTTCGGCCACCAACCTTCTTCAGGGCGAAAAGCCGTACCTATGGAAGAACGCAGTATGACGGCCGAAATTTTGCCATCTGTGCCTAGGACGTAATACGATCTAATTCAGGTGCTACTTCTAGGATGCAGCGGGCAACTCCCAGCCGGCCAAGTACATCCAGTCTCCGGCCATAGAGAAACGTGTTTCCAAAAGCTTCGATATCCACTGTAAGAGTTGACATTCTATATTGTTAATTGTATCCGTTTTTCAAGTAATTTTTTACCAAAATATTACTATATAAAATTTAAATTACAGGTTTAAAAGTTGATCTTTTTTCAAAACGTTCTGTATCCACTACATATTCTTGTTAAAAGTACTGTATCAAGATTTGCAATAGAAAGTGTTGTTACCTATCAAAAATACAATGTCGGTATAAAATTTGCTTCAAAATGTGTCAAATACTTTACTGCTTCAACTTTTCAAATGGTGGAAAAATAAAGTGAAACTATACTTTGTAGAATTAAATATTACGAGAAACAATGGTCCCCCTCCCCTGCTTGACAACCCCGTCGTTTCTACAAAAGGTAATTCGTCATTTCTGCCATTACAAGTGCTAGTGCTATTAGAGTATCGCGTTCTATACTGAGACCCATGATTCCTTTCTTACTCAATTTTAATAATTTAACAATCAAGCTATTTTTTACCGGCCCCCAACGTAAATCAGTATTTTATTACTATTTCACAATTTATCAAAGCTGTCTTTATACCAAATAGTTGATTACGAGTTTTCCTCTTATCCTCTCAATTACTTTGAGAACATTAAATTATTCACAGAGTTACTGGAATTAATGAAGTGTAAACAAATGGACAAAGTGTTGAATAATTCTTGAGTTTGACGTCGGGAGAGGACAGTGGTTTAGAACTTTTTGTTCGCTACCCAGAACTTTGGCCAGAACTGATGAGAAGTAATTTTAATATTTTGTTTGTCCAACTGATCGTCAAAAAATGACCATGAAAGTGTTTAATAATTCCTGTTTCACGTCGTACTTGTAAAGTGTATTTGAACATTCTTTAGAACGTGTAGTTCGCTACTCAGAACGCTTGACAAAAAAATCTTTATGAATTTCAAACTGCTCTCCGCCTTCGTGTACTTGGAGACCGCCAATGGAGGAGGGTGAACGGCGGAGTTGTAGATACACGTCCTTCTTTCCCTCCCCATGCCCTCCCGGTGGATATTACGAGAAAGGACGAAATGTCCTTTTTTATTGGAAATGGGGTTCTATGCAACCTATGATGTGCGAAGAATACTGCGGTTTTTTCAACTTTTTTTCAGTCCGACATCATAACGTTTCATTGTGTAACATTTAACTTCAACATTCATTATAATTAATCAACATAACATTTCATACTAAATTGCATTTAACTTCACCCACTTCGCTTAACAACGGCTAAAAAGCATAAATAATCTGTATCTGTACGTCCTTTTCTCCATGAAATGCTACAAAATCCATGCCATCACCTCGTGCAATTGTGCGCGACGTGTTGTATGAAGGTGCTGGTTACAGATAGTGTGCTCTGTGATGTTCACACTACTCTGCTGCCGTGTGGAGTTAATTCTGCTCTGTGATGTTAATATTTCGAGCAGAAAGTAAAACGAAAAGCCTTGTTTAATTACATTCTTAAAAGTTCAAAGCGATTGGTTCAATTCATGGTTCAAAGTAAAGTCTGAATTGTTGAGGGAGATCTCATCATCCACCAAATACTTCGGGTATAAAAGGCAGAAATGATAATGAAGTAGGTAGGTATTGTATAAAATTGATGACAATTAAGTATTTATTTTGTCAGTAAGTATTATGTTTTTAAGAAAAATAAATTATTATATTAAAACAGTTTACATGAGGTGTCTTTTTGCAAGAACTTACCTCTTTTTCCATAATAGAAGTACGATAAACCTAACTGAATAAATTGAAATGTATTTTAAGGAAAACTGTATGAATTAACAATAAAAGATACACCTATTTAACAGTGTAATACAAGAATTTCCTGCACGTTTACGTTTAAAATTTTGAATTTTTGATGGATGCCATGGGCATGTATAGTTTCGATATAACCTATTGATTGATGCTTTCTGCGGAACCACAGTTAGCCACGTCCTATTTTTGGAAGTTAGTTTAGCATTCCCCATGTTTTGATTTCACAAATACTCTACATCGACAGATACTAAAATAAAATTTTAACGTGCTTGTGGGCAGGGCTGCCTGTAAGGGAGCGTCGCAATGTACACAAAGCGATTACTCATGGTGACGGCATCGAATTGTTTTGTAAACATTCGATAAGCGTAGAAAGACAACACTATAACGAAAGGTTCAAAATACGATGCAACAGTAACTTCTTACGTAAACAAAGAGAGAGGGAAAGAACTACGCCGGGAACAGTCGTTTACCCCCTCCCCATTGGTGTACAAAAAAACTTTAAGTTCGTGCTGCCAGGGTGTGTTCTCCACTCTACACATGTGTAGAGTCACAAATAAACGAATTTTCACTGATCACCAACTATCAAATGATTTCACTTACTTTACATCCTTTCGTAAGTAAGTCGGGGGGCAATAAAGAGAAGGGCAAGTGCGTTTTGATGAATCTTGGAGATGGAGCATTCTTGAGCGTCTCATACATTGGTTGGCAGAGGCTTTCAATAGCTTCCTGGTTTTCTTTATTCCCACGATTTTTTTCTAAGCATTCTCGTTTTATGTCTTCGTGCACGAATGTGCTGAACCTATTAACAAGTTAAAGTATCATTACATGGATAGCCAAATTTCACATAAACGCCACGTGGCTTTTCCAAAACACTGTTGTAACACTAGAAGCGTGTTCTGTTCCGAAGACCAGGAATTAACTTCTACCCAACGTCACCCCCTTTCCAATAAATCTACTATATTGAAGTTATATTTTAAAAATCTTTAATAACATTCTTCTGTCAAGAGTTGCCTCTTGACGCCTTAATTTATGAAAATGGTTTTACAAAACTACGAAGTTATGAACATTATTCCATGAAAATAAACGGCGATTCCCGTCGACGAAAAAACTATGCATCTGCTATCAAACAGCAATTGGTATAATGCCAGAGATAATTACTTTTTCCTCCTAACACTAATGGTGTACAACAGCACATACGTTCTCGCATTCTTTCTAAATTTGCAAATTTTCAAAAATTCAGAGTTCAACGAAAATTAGACCCGCGCCATTTTTTTAAGCATCCCTTCTTCTATCCGTGAACAATGTAAAAAAAATTGGGGCGATTTTTGAGAAAATATTTTATTTATGAATATCTCAAGCACAAATTACGAGGAAGTACCCTCTTTCTCAAAAAGAAGCTCATGTCCTATTTAACGAGTCGATGTTATACTACAGAGGCAAATACTGTATCTTCAATTTTGTAGTTTTGCAATGCTAATTTTCTGGAATTTTTGAAACAACGAAAATATAGATGAAAATGAGAGTGCATTATGTTTTCTATAGTGTCTTATTACGTATGAGGGGGGAAATAGGGGTGTTTTTTAAGAAAAAAGTGTTAAATATTTTAAATTGCGCTATATTTTGCGGAAAATTACACAAAAATTACTCATGTTTTCGAAAAACTGAAAATGACATTATATCAAAATTTGTCTTTAAGGAACAGATTTTACTAAGGAAAATCTTGAATATTAGAGTTCTAGAGAGACACCCCTTTTGAAATTTTGAAATTTTGAAAAAATCTAGGATTTTAACAAAAATATGGCCTGCACTATTCTCTTAAGCGTCATTTACGCTACCATACAACAAAATGTAACCAAAAAATTTGGATTAACTTTTTTTGGAAATGTCCCAGTAATTTCATGTAAAGTCCCCCCCCCCCAAAAAAAAGAAATTAAAATTTAAGAGACCGTGACATCAGCCAAATCGATTAAGAAATATCAATTTTGGAGAAAATCGTCTAAACGATTTAGAGACTAGCATTGACCATAGACAGACGGAGATTCAGACTTTTGCTGTCAATCGATTTTTCGGTGTCAAGGACTCACAAAACATGGATTCTGCCCACAACAGTCGATCAGGTTTTCGTCCAGCTTCCCTGATCCTCGAGCAAATGCTGAGATGGCTCCTTGTTTTGCTTCTGGACATAAATGTAACATAAATTAACTTCTCCCCATAGCACGTCATACTCAGTTTTTAGCTGTTTTTGACGTAAATAAATAAACACTTGTTAGAGGCAGCAATTTACTATAAATAGCAACCGGATTTATCCACTTTTAGAGCCCGATGATAATGACGATGCCAAAACCTCGTCATTTTCCGGAGCTGACATAACTTTCTCTTCCTACGAGGTGAGACAGTAAAACCAAAAAAGGCCAATTTTTTGTGTTACAACAGTATTCTGAAAAAGCGTCGCGCCATTTCTAGATACTGTTCAATTATAATGTAGCAAATCTTACTCTAAAAATGGAAATCGATCTACTAAAGGTATTTTTGATGCCGTGAAGTAGTCCAAATTATTTGCTAGAAGCCACACCATTTCTTGTGTCCATGTTGTACCTGAAAAGTTATTAATAAAAGTCTTATTGTAAATTATAGAAACAATTGTTTTTGGTTAGACCTACAATCCTAAAAAATTGTTGAAAATAAACATTATTTATCCCACCAATTTACAGGAATTGGTTCAGATTTGCACTGCCAGTACAAAATGGTTCAAGGTAGTATATCACAACTGACCAAAAAATCAATTCACAAAGGTCAGTGAATTTACACCATCCGTTGTTGTTCACAAGTAATGTATGTATTTCTTTACATTTATTCTTTAGTAATGTAAAATTCATTCTGCGTTGCGCATTTATCTGATAATTAACGCAGATTAATAGTAATGAAACAATTATGTGCAATAATTAATTTGAACATTATTAAATGTAAAAGTTATTTTTCTACGAAGATTAATAAACTTTATATATATATATATATTCTTTGTAAATGAGGTATCTAAAGAAAGACAATTTTACGAAGACGTGACAAATTGCATTGACAAAGACCTCAAAGAAACTTTTCTTACGTTGTAATCTACAGGACATTCTATTACATTTATGCTGGTCTGAAGTCTATCGGTATTATCCAATACCAACTATGCTTCTCGGCGCTGGAGGCGATATTTGTTTCTGACGTCACGTTTTCTGTATACACCGTGATTTTCGCCGACTGATGAGGTTTATTTGCATAATCAATATCTTAAGATCATGCAAATTAACCTAATTATCTCGCAGCAACAAGAACTATTAATATTTGCTTGATACCGATGAAGATTGATTTTTATGAGCATAGTGCGACCGTTCATTTATCGAATGTAAGTATTGACATACTTGTTTCTGCCAAAAGTTTGTGATATAACATACAGTATTTACAGAATCATTAATATACAGAATCTGCAATTATATGTGAAATGAAACTAATTACGTGCTTGATATTCTAGGTGATTAAATTGCACGGGTGTACCTCATAATTTGGTAATAAAGTTAGAATATAGTTATTCCGAAGAGTAGGGTTATGCTTGTCCGACTCTGTATTTTCGCATGGACAACTTTCAATAGCTTTCACGAAAGTAAAAAACTTTTGTAATATTTTTGTGACTATCAAGGAAAGCGAAAAGCTAAATGTCTAGGAAGACTGTTTAATTACTACAAATGTTCTTTTTAAGGAAGTATTGTGAATTGTCCCAAGAACATATAACTATAACACTTTATTCAAAATAGGTTTCAATGTTCTTAATTTTTATTTTAAATTCTATATGTACATTCGAAGATACCTTTTTTAAATTTTCTAAGTAAATGAACACGTTTCGTTTATAACTTCCCCTCTTGACATGGAAAAGGAACGATAGAGAAAAGTGTGGGAGTTAACATGCGAGAATTCTCGCCCTGGTACGCTAGTATATACACTATGTGGTCAAACGTATCCGGACACGTCCAAAATGGTGTTATGTTGTGGACGTGTATTTAGGGAGGGGGCTTGCACCCTTTGCTACTTTCCCGTTTACGTATGGAGTAATATACGTAGTATAGGGGAAGTTATGTAATGTGCGGAAAATCGATTTCGAGATTTCGACGGAAATACACGTTTTGGGGTCTCCTGATACCGAAAAAGCGTTTTTTTCAAAACGTCCGTCCGTCCGTTTGTCTGGTATATGTGAACAACACTAGCGCCCAAACCATGCGTAGACGTTTTGTTCCAAATTGAAGAAACGCCTGTCCATTTGGCCTGACTCGAAGCTCTACAATTTTGAAAATCATTCATTAGTTTTTGGGAGTACTTTATAAAGCCCCTGGAAATTTTCAAAATTTTCTCAAAAACGGCTCCAAAAATTGTATTTAATTTTTTTGTAAGAATAGAGTAAAATAAAATTTATAAAGGTGGCATTGGTCCGATTTTCACGGTTAACACTAAATTTTCCAAAATTTGAATTTTTTTCAGGTCAAACCTCAAAATTAAAGATAGTATTTTCTTTCAAATTAAATGTGTTGTCCATAATTTGTTCTTCATTAAGGTCATGTACATTTTTTTGATATTTTAGTAGTTTTCGCACAATAGTATGTGCAATTAAAAACAATTACAAAAACAAGATTTTCTCAAAATCGATTCCAAATTTTTCTTTAAACTTTTCGTAGGTATTGTGCTAAATGCACTCTATGAAGTGACATAAACGCTATATTTCTCTATTCTTTTTTGAAAAATTACAAAATTTTAATGTTTTTGAATTGTCTCTTATATCGTTTATATTTTCATCAGCGTCAATTTTTTTTACATTAATATATTTTTGAGTATATGCGCTTTAAATAATATAAGATAGTTTTCCGAAAGCTCAACAGTTTTCCGTGAAAATGAGTTCAAAATTTCGCACTTTCTGAAGCACTCAAACGCTTTTTCTCAAAAACGGCTCCAAATTGTTTCTTCAAACTTTACCAACTAATAGTGATAATTGC